CTTTAACAGACGAACTAGAAGTAGACATTATCGACACTGGGTTTGGGGGTGATTGAAGCTGATCGGGGCGCTATGAGTCAGCATTGACTTGATGGCAGTGAGTTAGGAGTGGTTGGTTTAATAGTCAGCTGGGAAGAACTCGGGAGGTGCGGGCCTCTTCAACTTCTGGGCAGTGTGACCTGGCTGTGGATGACTAATAACTTTTACTAATAATGATGAGTGGTGGGGAGAGTATTGTGGAAGATTATTGTCGGAACATGGGATGTGCATATGTGTGTTTGTTGTTAGATTTGCATATTTTTACCAGAATCTTTCATCTTGACCACCAAAGTGACAGTGGCAATTTCATGTCTGTTTACCCAGAAATCGAGGCCACTTAATTGATAATGGGAATAGTGAAGTTAAAGAACTAACCTTTTCTAGATGAGAAAATGCAAAGGTGTAATAAACAAAAGACGTGCTCAGTGGCACTAATAGAGCGCCAAGTAATAACAGCGTCTGGGTTTTATTTGCAGGGTTGACAAAAATTAATGAGGTGTGGAAACATACGCTCACAAATGTTATAAAAATGTATTTGTGTTTATATGCATTGATAAAAATGCATAGATGTTGAACAGGAAGTCATTAATTTACATAGACACGGATTTGTGACCCAACATTTCTACCCTTTATAAACTATTCCGACAGGAATAAGTCAGCGTGTTTATACAAGGATGCTCAAGTTTGCAGGGATGTATGGACCAGGGTTTTTATTGAAGCCTTGCCTCCAATGCTGTGTAGGAAGAAAAGGATGTTTGGGTCTCAATGACCTGACCAGAGGTCGTGACATATTTCTAAGTTTACCAAAAGAAGTTGACTTTTAGTACATGTAGCAGCATCGCATTTTAACAAAACCACCTCTGTCTCTGTGTGAATGTTGAGCTAGGAAAAGGGACCAATGGTCTTTAACCTTACTGTGCACCTTTAACCTTACTTGTCACCTCTGGACTAAGGAGACGAGGAGCAAGTGGAAACACAGGAGAGGCCACATGCCCTTCGTGTACTTCTTCTTGCACCTCTGTATGGTTCGGATTTTAGCAAGGAGAAGGTGTCACCTTGGCCATAATCAGGAACAAATATGAAGTCAAATACATGAGTTCCTTAGGATTTAGCTTTCTGGCTGTTTCCCATCAATGTTATTGACCAGCCATTGGCTCAGGCTGTTTAGTTAACTACACACTTTCAAAGTAATTTGGTACAAGTCAAAAAACAAAACTCAGCTATGTAAAAACTTAAAGTTTCAGCTAAACGTTTTGGATTTTTTTAGAAGCAGAAACAGCTGATTTTCTTTTTTACATTTAACTTATTAAAAATATTCACCAGTACCCCTGTAGTGATGACCAACCCCCCAAAACTAAACCCACTGCCCTCTAGTTGATTCCAATCCAAAGCAGCCCCTGTATTGGAGATTGCAAATCTTTAGAGGAGCACACAGCCTCATCTTTCTCCAGCAAAGTGTCTGGTGGGTTTGAACTGCCAACCTTGACATTAGTAGTCCAATGTTTAACCCAACAGCATCACCAGGGCAGGAGACTTTAATGCTTTGGAAGCTTGTATGGCGGGGGTGAATGGAGGAAGGGGACATGAGTGTAAGATGACTTCCTGTTGCTCTTCCAGGTGGACTGTCTGAGCCCTGTGAACCACCAGAGACTGTGCGTGCTCTTCAGCAGCTCTTCCGCGCGGTCCAGCAACGCGCCCAGTGCCTGCGTCAGCCCTTGGTAGGACTCTTTGTTCCCAATTCTTGAGAACAGGATGCCAACAGCAAAATCAACCAATTATGGTCAATTTTTAGGCACTCTGCTGGTGGTGAATTGGTAGGAATTTTAAACTATTGCTTAAATAAGAAAGTTTTTTTTGTGTGTGTGTTCTTGGATTGCAGTAAATGATATGCCCTAAGAGGGAAAAGGCTGTGAGGGATGGAAGGAAATTTGCGTTATTAACCACCTGAAAGTTGGCAGAGAAACACTAATTTATAAGATGCTGATACCATTAGGGGTTGTCAAAAAGTTAGTGAAAATCTCCCATTATTTTTCATTCCATTTCAAGATTGCCTTCCAGCATCATTTTATTAAAGCGGCCAGCCTTCTGCCCTACTTACTTAACTTTAATATAAATCTAAAGTCTAGATAAATTGATAGAAACAGAAACACTGTATAAAGTTATAACTATTTATTTCCATTGGTGGTTTGCTTGTTTAGCGTGCTGAGACATAACCACTTCTGGGGAGTCCCATTCCTATGAAAAGTGTGTTCTGTTTCCCTCGTGGTACAGAAACCCATCCTCCCAGCAGTGAGCGATCAAGGCTTCTCCCAGAAATGAAGCAGTCACTCCAGCGGGTGCACTTGTGGCTGGAGGAGCTTGAAGCAGTTTTCTGAGGGCTTTTGAACGTCTTCTTGTTCAAAGCTTGATTAAGATAAGAGGTTTCATCAGAGTGTAGCTAAATTCTCTTATTTGCGGGCATCTGTGCATTAGTTATAAAGTTAGGAATTGGCTCTTCTGCAAGCACTTGAGCTGCTGTTCTCTCAGCTCAGAACAAAGGTGGGGATAAATAGAACAGGGCTCTGCAGCCCCGTTTTATGTGAGCAAGGCGTAGACTTAGTAAAGGAACCTGACATCTCCCTAGCACAAAGCAGTTTAATAATTGCTACATTTTTATGCATCCTTATTAAATAGTTTAATAAGATTGGGAGTTGGGTAAGATGTATAATTTGGCTCATCTAAACAGCTTTATCAGATGAGGTGTAAAACGTATTATAGTACAACAATTTTACCTGCTTCAATACTATGTTACTAAACACACTTAACATCATTACCATTTGTGGGCTCACAGAACTCTTTCCTGTCCTGTAATCTTTACACCTTCTGTCTAAGAAATAATTTCTTCTTTTAGGATTGTAACAATGGAGTTTTATGGAAAGAATGATCTCACATTAGGAATATTTTTAGAGAGATACTGCTTCAGGTAAGAGTAAATTTACCTCTTACACACACACGTATATATATATTTTTTAATGCCTAAAATTTCATCCTAAAGCACCTTCATGGGTTAGACGTCAGGTCGTATTGTGTGGTCTTCACTGTCTTGTAGTGTATGTCTGAGCATGCTCGAAGAATGGAGTAACAAAGAAGTCTTACTGAGCACCTTCCACAGACCTTTGCTCATCTACTTACCTTGCCATCCCACAGACTTTTCGAAGAAGTCTAGATTCACAAAGATTTCACATGAGGGGTGGGAGGAACATTGGAGTCAGCTAGTCCAGGATTTAAGTCTTGGCGCCACCAATTCCTGTTTATATGACAAATAGCAAGTAATATCATCTTTCCCAGCCCCCATGAGGGCGCTCTGCTGGTGCATTGGGCTTCTAACTTCAAAGTCACCAGTTGGAACCTGCCAGCTCTTCTGCGGGAGAAAGATGAAGCTTTCTACTCCAATAAAGAGTTACCTGTGTCAGGAACCCACAGTGTCCCATAGGATTGCTATGAGTCAGAGTTGACTCAGTGGCAGTGAGTTATTGGAGACAGCAAACTCTCCCAAGATTTAATGGTTTTGATAGATTAAATGAGACTATGTTTTACATATGCTTGACTTAACATAATGCCAAAAGAAGGTGCTTGCCCAGTGTGGCTGGGGAGGTTGGGGGGAAATGGGTAGCTAATAGCTGTGTAGTCTGACAGGGTGCTCAACCACAGATACACGTGGCTCCAGTGGGTGTCTGATGGTCAGATGGCCTGGTCTGCCCTGCTGGCCATTTTATTCTGGGTGTTAAGCTTTTTGTGACAATGGCTCTTATTAGCTAGTGTTCACTATACATGGCTTCTGTCTCACTGTTAACATGAAAAGGACTTACTTGTTTGTCTCAGGCCTTCTTATCAATGCCCGAGCATGTTCTGTGACACCCCCATGGTGCATCACATTCGGCGTTTTGTCCATGGCCACGGCTGTGTGCAGATAATCCTGAAGGAATTGGATGCTCCAGTACCTGGCTATCAACATACAATCCTCACATATTCCTGGTGCAGAATCTGCAAACAGGTAAATATATGCTGTTACTACACTATCACATACTTCTTTTTTTTTTTTTTCTCTTCTGTTTTCTTCATCTTTTTATTTCTTTTTTTTTACATTTTATTAGGGGCTTCACATACTTCTTTACTTGCATAGTTTTGATTGATTGATTGTTTATTGAGGAAAGTAGTCTCTTATGCTGGACTTTTTATCATTGGGTTAATATCAACTTTATTTTCTTGTGGTTCAGTTTGATTCTTGGTTTATAAAGATTCCACTCTTGGAATATGCTGTTTTTATCAGGTGCTGTTGAGTTGTTGAGTGTACAGCAGAGCCAAACCCGGCCCAGCAGTCCTCCGTCCTCATCATGGTTCCTGTGTTTGTGCCCACTGTTGCAGCGTCTGTCAGTCCTTCTGGTTTAGAGTCTTCTTCCTCTTTTTCACTGGCCCCTCTTTGACCAAGCACGATGTTCTTCTCCCAGAGACCGGTCCTTCTGAGGATTACTTTGTTGTATGTGCTAAAGTAACCCCAGTGTTTCATAACTCGTATTCTTATTTTGGAGTAGTTTTATGTACCTTTGGATGGCATATGGGAGAATTACAGATAGAGTAATAGCATAACCTATGTACATTTGAGGGGAGCAAAATCAATGTTGTTTTCTGCAAAGTATGTGTAATGGTCTCACCATCTTCACTTCTGAGGAGCTGTGCTTATTTTAAGAGAGATTTATATGTTCTTTTGACAGTCCATGGAATACCCAGTGTTCTTCACCAACACCATAATTCAAGTACATCAGTCTTGTTCAGTCTTCCTTACCCATTGACCAGCGTCTGCATGCATACAATGCAATTGAAAATACCATGGTTTGGACCAGGCACACCTTAATGCTCATGATGATATCTTTGCTCTTTTGTACTTACGGTGTTATCTGTTGTTAAGTATTATTTAGGATCTTAGTATCTTGAGATAGTTCTTGATAGTTCTCAATCATGTCTATTCATTTAGCAAGCATGTATTGAGTAGCAACTTACTAGGTTCTATATTAGGCATTGGAAATAAAAATAGAATTAGATGTGGCTTCACACTTGTAGGAGAAGAATCAGACGTATAAAGTAATATGTTAGCATATGTATTAGGCAGGGTTCTCTATGGAAACAAAACTAAGACACTTAAGATTTTATGTATAATAAAAAGATAGGTTTATACAGCAAGAAGGAATATAACAGCTAATTATTCCACACAGTAGTACAGAGGGCTCAGTTCAACTCACTTTCATGGAACAGTTAATATGCGGGAAGTCCTTCAATTCACATGGGGGGGTCCGAGGTCAAGGAAGCAGATAGCGGAGCCTTCCCTCAGGGCAAGGCTGGCAGAGTCTGCCCACAGCAGCAGACAGCAGGGAGGGTCAGCAACAGTCAGTAGCTCAGGAGCTTAGGGAAGCAGTCCCTGATGGGATCTCCAACTCAAGCACTGCGACAGGACCTACCAGCCTCAACCTCAAGCAGGAATGCACCAGCAGCATGGCAAAGAGGTCTCGAAGGAGCCTCAAGCTCTAGTGAGTGACAGGATCCACGGGTTGGCTTGGCCCACAGGTAGTGTAGCACACAGGTTGAGGCAGAGACCTAGCTGAAGCAGCAACCCACTGGTCCAATCACCAGGGAGCAAGAGGGAGATGGGATGCAGGCTGTCTTTATTTATTTTGGTCGTCTTCCAAATCAAGCTGCCACCTGATTAAACTCTGCCCACATGTTCCTTCCTATTGGCCTGGTTGGCACAATAAACCTACCTCACAGCTTAATAAATTTGAGCCCATCATAATATTTTTATCTTAAGAAATACAGTCATGAGCATGATACTTTACTGGTTTTCCTATACATTCTTGAGAAAAAGAGCGTGAGTTTTTTTTCTGGCTGTGTGACGTTCTTCACTTTTCCAATCTGGAACAAATATTTGGCAGCAGTAGTATGCTTTTGATGTCTCAACTGCTTGCAGCGAGTAGGTGTCAAATTTAACTTCATTGTTATCACAACTATTTTATTCCAGAGCATTTTTAATGTACTTTAATGTGCACATATGGGAATTGAAGCTGAAATAATACTGTGACCTGTATATAGTTATTACTGGTTGAGGGGACCAAAATCAAAGTTGTTTTTTTGTTGAAACAGTGTATATATGGTCATAAAACCATTTCTAGTAATTATCAGTTATTATTTTTGTAGTTTTTCTAGGGCATTAATTCCTTTTGGAGAGTTGATACTATTTTGTTGTAGAACATGAATATATACATGAATACATTGTATGTCCACATAATAGAATTTTATCAGCTATTAAAAATCAAGTTTAACTTTCCTCTAGTTCCTAAATGATTTCCCCCCCTGCCCGCTATCATGATCCCAATTCTACCTTACAAATCTGGCTAGACCAGAGGATGTACATTGGTACCGATAGGAACTGGAAACACAGGGAATCCAGGACAGATAATCCCTTCAGGACCAGTGGTAAGAGTGGCAATAACGGGAGGGTGGAGGGAGGGTAGGGTAGAAAGGGAGAACCGATTTCAGGGATCTACAAATAACCTTCTCCTGGGGGACAGACAACAGAAAAGTGGGTGAAGGGAGATGTTGGACAGTGTATGATATGACAAAATAATAACATAAATTATCAAGGGTTCATGAGGGAGCGGGGAGGGGGGAAGGAGGGGGAAAAAATCAGGAGCTGATGCCAGGGGCTTGGGTGGAAAGCAAATGTTTTGAGAATGCTGAGGGTAATGAATGTACAAATGTGCTTTATACAATTGATGTGTGTATGGATTGTGATAAGAGTTGTATGAGCCCCCAATAAAATGATTAATAATAATAATTAGACAAAAACAAACAAAGGAAAAAAAAATGAGGACCTGATGCTGGGGGCTTAAGTGGAGAGCAAATGTTTTGAGAATGATGAGGGCAATGAATGTACAAATGCACTTTGCACAATTGATATATGTATGGATTATGATAAGACTCATATGAGCTCCTAATAAAACGATTAAAAATTTTTTTTCATAGAACGCAAAAAAAAAAAAACCAAAGGGAAAAATTTTTTTAAGTCAAGTTTTCAAGAATATTTTACATAGGAAATACTCAAATACTTTGATAAGCAATAAAAGACTGAAGCTACAGGAAAGGCTTTTTGCTTACAAATACACCGCTTCTGCACATATGTATTCATATAAAGGAAGAGAGGAAACATACTGGTGTATGTTGAGATTGCTGGTTAGACTGCTCTATATTCAGCATTCATCAACACCTTTAATTCAAATACTTTAATTCTTCAGTCTTCATTCCAGTTTTTTTATGCATATGATACAGTTGAAGACAACGTGAGTTGGGTTAGGCACACCTTAGTCCCCAAAGTAACATCTTTGCATTTTTGTGTATACACCAAATTCCACCAAATTTGAACCCCCCCCCCTTGTTTTCTACAGTCGAACATATCAGATTCGTATTACAAAATAAAATACAGCGTTTTTAAAAATACATTTCTCACCGTACGTTGTTCATTGTTGTGAGGTGTCTTTGAGTTGCTTCAGACTCGCGGTAACCGTGAACAGAGCGCTCCATCCTAACAGTAGTCATGCGTGAGCCCGCTCTTAAAAGCGATTGTGTTGAGGCTGTCCTCTTTTTTTGCTTTTAGCGAGTTAACTATATTATTTAGGATAGTGTTTTTTGACACTAAAGTTTAAAATAATACCTGGGATATTAAATATTGCACCGTGGAATGGTGTGAGGAGCTGGTTCTAAGCTCTAAACTGCATCCAGAGCTTCTGATTTATATTCTGAGTGTGTGCTTTTATCTTTTTTGGAATGTCTTTTGATCTCAACTCTGATTTCTTTGTCAGTGTAGTTTGCCCTTATGTGTTATGTGTTGTATGTGCCTCTGTGGGTTTATTCTCAATACTTTAGTCTTTACGAGTTTCCATCTCACTCTGGGTAGTTTGTCTGCCTTGTTTACCATCTTGCCAGAAGTACTCAGGCCTTCCTCTTGTGTTGTGCTGACCCTCTTTATACCCAGCACGCTGTCCTTCTCCAGGACTGGTCCCCCTCAAGAATAGAGCCACAGCCTGTGAGTTGAAGTCACTCCAGCCTTGCTTCTTTGAAACAGTCTGGTGTACTTTTTCCAAGACAGATGCGTTCTTTCTTGTGGGAGTCAATGGTGTATGTAAGACTCTACCAGCACCTTAATTCGAAGGTATCCATTCTTCTTTGCTCTTCCTTATCCATCACTAAACTTTTGTATGTATTTAAGGCACTTGAAAATACCATGGCTTGAGTAGCTGCCAGCTAACTTTCTAACACTTTACGGAGGTCTTTTGCACCAGGTTTGCCCTATATAATAACGTTTGATTTCTTGACTGCTGTTCCCATACACGTTGACTGTGGATCCATGTCAAATGAAATACTTGACAACTTTCATCTTTCCCCAGTTTATGCTTATGCGTATGCTTATTGGTCCAGTTTTGAGGATTTTGGTTTTCTTTATGTTGAAGTACCTTCTAGTAGAAAGTACTTTAAGACCTCTTTGCGTTCAACAAACAATATAGTGTCATATGCATATTACTGGCTATTAATGAGCTTTCCTTAAATCTTGATTGTGGGAGAAAGACGGGGCTCTCTGCTCCCATTAAATTACAGTTTCAGAAAAGGAAGGGATAATGCTCCCTGTAGGGTAGCCAGGAGTTGTCATCGACTCGATGGCAACGAGTTTGTTTGTTCTGTGTCTGGCCAGGAATTCCCATTCTTCATAACGTTACCATGGTTTTTCATGATTCACACACGCATGCCTTTGCTAGTCAATGAAACACCCTTCCGGTATTCTCAGCTTTCAGCCCAGCTCAGTGCAATATCAGCAGTGATAACTCCTCCTTCATGATCCCTCTGCAGCTGGATTGAGCTTCTAGCAGTTCCCTGTCGATGTACTGCTGTCACTGTTTTTGGATGATCTTTAGCAAGAGTTTGCTTGTGTGATATCAGTGATATTGCCAGATAATTTGTGCATTCTGTTGGATCGTTTATCTTTGGAATGGGAGCAAATATGAATCTTCAAGTTGGTTGGCCAGGTAGTTATCTTCCATATAGACAAGTGCATGCTTCTAGCATTGTATTTTTGTTGGAATTTCTCAATTGATAGTCCTTATGTTCCTGGAGCCTTGTTTTTTACCGCCAATGCCTTAAATACACCTTGTACTTCTTTAGTACCATCAATTCTTTTCATATGATACCTCCTGTGAAGTGGCTGAGCTTTGACCACATTTTTCAGTACCTTGATTAATGGACGTTTGTAACGGTTTCTTCTCATTTTGCATGTTTATATAACTTTAATGATTTATTCTGAATTTCAGGTAACACCGGTTGTTGCTCTTTCCAATGATTCTTGGTCCATGTCATTTGCAAAGTACCTTGAACTTCGCTTTTATGGCCACCAGTACACGCGGAGAGCCAATGCTGAGCCTTGTGGTCACTCTATCCACCATGATTATCACCAATATTTCTCTTATAACCAGATGGTGGCATCCTTCAGGTAAGAAGTCAGAAAGACTCGTAAATGGTTGTATGCGCTCTTGAATGCTTTGTCACTTGCCCAGTGTAATAGTATGATGCGTTCTGTGGGAATGTTTTCCCTTCCCCACCTGCAAGTGCAGAGAGCCAGACTGTTTTTAAGAGTTTTCAGCGCATCGTTTTCATTAAATTCTTACCACAGTGCTAAGAAGTAGGTAGCATCATCTTCATCATCATGACCTACACAATTAGCATGAGATGGGGTCATGATTTGAACTTTGACTGACCTGCTGCTACAGAGCTCACTTGGGTCAAGCATAGGGACAGTGGTGAGCATGGCACCGGACAGAGCCATGCTTCATTCTGTTGTGCATCGCCAGGATAGACCAGAATCGGTTCGGTGGCACTTCGCAACAACATACATCTGAGAGTCCGTCAGAATGTTTGCTAACACATTACCTAGCAGTAGGATTATCATATATTTGGGATAGGGCTAAACCAGCAAGTTACAGATAGGTGTTTCCCATCGTGGTATTCAGTGCTTTGAGGAAATGGCCAGGCTCTACCTTCCATCTCTTTCCAGTACTGAGCGCTCCTCTGCATGCCCACTGCCCCTCTGGAGTGGGCCTCCACTTTCCGTCACCCAATCGTTGCGGCAGCTTCTCCCAGTCTCGTGCTTTCCCTGCCCCCTGCGGCCTGTTGTCAACCCAGCAGTGGTCCTGCTCCATGAACAGCTCAGCAGGTCACTGTTCCAAGTGTCTCTCACCTTGAGTGAAGGCCAAGGCCATTTCTTGGCCTGTCACTCCTGCCTGGCTGCCCAGCACCCCTCCTTCCTCACCTCCCTCTGCTTGCTGCCCCCTGCCCAGCCTTGCTGGCCTCCGACAGTCAGGTTGGTGCTGAGGTGGAGCCTTTCCTTGCTCCTGCTTGGAACTGCTCTTTCTGCAGCCCTCCGCCTGCAGCTCCCGATTTCCCTGTGAGTTTTGTTCACATTTTATCTTCCTTGACATCCCCTCGCCCTGGCATTCCTTAATTTCCTTGCTGGCTTTTTTCCGCCCTTCACAGCAATTAACCATTTGATCCAACATATATGAGATATTATTTTCTGACTCATGAGGGCAGGCGTTTTGTAGACACTTTGGAAATAGGTGCTTATGTGCTAATTGGAGCCTATTTCTGTTTAAAAGCAAGAGCATGAAACCATCAACTGAGGTGTAGGGTGAGGGGTGGATCTACTAGACAAACAAGCGCTACAGTGAGAAGGAAATGAAGACCATGAAGCATGCTGTGGGGCTGGGGTGTTATGGATGGAAACCTAGGTCAAAGTTAGCTGCAGGAAGGAGATGCTCTGCCCGTGCATAGGAAAAGCTTGTTTTGTTCTAGAGAAAATGACTTTTCTTGTAGCAGGCGAGGATAACCCCGAGAGGCAAACCCCACTGTGACGAGAAATCCAAGCAAACACAAATCCCTCTGAAATTGGGGAGGATGTTTATAATGGCACAACTTGTCTTCAGCCTTTATGGCGGTTTTTCAGTGTTACTTTATATGAATGTGTTTTCTTTTATGCCTCCTATGACTTACTGGCAAGCTTCTACTCAAGGGATTATTTTTCATTTTTCTGTAATCATGTGTCTTGTCTTCTCTCAGTTACTCTCCCATTCGGCTTCTTGAAGTATGTGTTCCACTCCCCAAAATAATCATTAAGCGTCAGGCCCCATTGAAAGTGTCCCTTCTTCAGGATCTGAAGGACTTCTTTCAAAAGCAAGTACTTATTTCGCTTTCTTCAACTGTCTTTTTTTGTTTCATGCTGTCTGTAATCTACAGATAATTTTAAAATATCAAATTTGTTCATTTTAAGTAGTAATTTAAGAAAAAATTTTCAGTTTAAATTTTCTTTAATAGTGCAAATATTTTCTTTTTCTAAATATATTCCTTCAACAAGAAATGAAAAATGTAGACAATATAGGAAAGTATTGGAAAAAAAATAAGTAAAACTCTGATGTAAAAATGATGAAATGATTTTAAGGTACAGCAACTCCCGTTAAGAATGTCAGTCTCAGGAACTCACAGGAGCAGTTCTACCCTGCCCAATAGGGTTGCTCTTGATCAGAAACGACTCAATGGCAGCATGTTTGATTTTTATTTTTTTGATAGATATAAAACATAGTTGTTGGTTGTTGTGTGTGTGATGTCTTTTTCTCTATGTGAAATTAGATCATTTGATTCCTGTTGCTCCGGAATGTTTAACATTTTATATGTTTTTATGACTAGAGTGTCGCAGGTATATCTTGCTGTTGATGAAAGACTTGCATCTTTCAAAACTGATACATTTAGCAAAACTAGAGAGGAAAAAATGGAAGACATCTTTGCACAAAAAGAGGTAATTTCTTTGTCACTTGTACAAAAAGAGGTAATTTCTTAGGTCATTTCTTTGACATAAAATCTAGAGTTAACTATTTTAACTTATTAAGAGCTTTCTGGGGGCTATGGCCTGTGGAGTCTCTCAGATTACTGAAATTGCTTCTAGATGGAAGAGGTCGAATTCAAGAACTGGATTGAGAAGATGCAGGCCAGGCTCCTGTCCTCCTCCGCAGACGCCCCCCAGCAGCTGCAGTCCATGTTTGAGTCGCTCATTGCCAAGAAGCAAAGTCTCTGTGAAGTGCTGCAAGCTTGGAACAGCAGGTAGCCTCTTCATCCTCCGGTGTCTTTGACATTGTTAGCAGATTTTCTCTGCAATGATGCTTTCACTTAAATGTCTATTTACTTGGGATTCTCATTTTACTCACAGGTTACAGAACCTTATTTTCTGTTAAAACCAGCTTGTTTGAGAGGAGCTGATGCCAGGGGCTTAAGAGGAGAGCAAATGTTTTGAGAATGATAAATGTGCTTTACACAATTGATGTATGTGTGGATTGTGATAAAGAGTTGTATGAGCCCCCAGTAAAATTATTTTAAAAAGCCAAGAAAATAAAACCAGCTTTTCATTTTTATCCTTTAAAATATATGCACGTATCTTTAGTTTGTGAAGATATTAAAATCATAGATGAGGACCATCCCTAGTGTTCTTTCAAATACTTGCACGGTGAATGCTTATTACATAATGAAATTAGTTTGCCCTGAAGTGACTCGGTTTTAGGTTAAGGATTTCAAATATATTGGTATGTGTATCTTATGCCTTTACATTTTTGGAAAGGTTTTTCTTTAATTTGGACATAGGTGGAAGATAATTTTCTTGAACAGCCTTGAGTTTAGTTCAAAACTTAGATTATTACAGCTGTCCATTTACTGGGTACTTGGTTATAGTAGGTACTAAATAAGTTGCTAGACTGACACCCACTCTTTAATCTGGTTGTGTGAGTCCTACAGGATATATACAGTTTTCATTTTACACAAGAGGACACTGTGACTCCTGGGACTTAAGGACTTTGCCCAAAGTTATATAGGTACTATCTGTTAGAGCTGGGAGGTGAGCCCAGGTCTCTTGCTCTCTGTCACTCTTGGGTTTTCTCTTATAATTACTTGCGATTCTTTTGTCACTGTAGTCATAGTAGCAAGAACTTTTGACCAACTGGCACACATCATTGTATATAACTGTTATATAAAGTGTCAAAATGTTTTGCATTCCAAATACACCAAGTTGATCCCAACTCATAGCAACCCTATAGGCCAGAAGAAAACTACACCTTTGGGTTTCCAAGACTGAAAATCTTTACTGGAGGAGACAACCTCATCCTTTCCCCCTCTAAGGGACTGGTGGGTTTGAACCACTGACCCTGTGGTTAGCACACTTAATTATTGAAGTTTTAAAATTGTAAAGGGAAAATTTGTAGACATGCTCCTGGACACTGGAAACAAAGCCATTTCTTTTTTCCCTTTCCCTTTGACCACAGGTTGCAGGACCTTTTCCAGCAAGAAAAGGGCAGAAAACGACCTTCTGTCCCTCCAAGTCCTGGGAGGCTGAGACAAGGGGAAGAAAACAAGGTAATAAAATGTGGTCTGTTCTCTTCTCCTTCATTTGCGTGAATACACTCATGACAATTCCATTCCTGAGTTTACTATGTACTTTATTAAAAATACTCAATAGTGTTTTCCATGTTGAAATTGTAAGTTTCAAGGAGACCTCAACCAGATTCCTTTTGTATCTGAGCTGGAAAGAAAATGATGTGTTAAAATTCATTCATTTGAAACATTGGAAATGATCATTTTCAAGAAATGGTGAAAAGAGTGATTCTGCTTTAAACGTATACAAACATCTTCAATGTCCACCGTAATAGAGGAAGCTGAATGATTATCTGGCTCCTATATTTGCTCTGCTGAGGTATACTGTTGCGATCGAAAAATGTCAAGAAAACCCAACCACATAAATATATGTGGGGTACCAAAAAAAAAAAAAATGGGAAAAAGCTCCACTGGACAGAGTTTTCATAGTATGCAGTTTTCCCGCTAGGCTAGCATCATGCAACTCCCTCTTAGTTAGTGCACCTAGTGGCATCACCTGGGAAGGTTCTCTCTAGTCACAGTGAATTTTTTCATAAAAGCTGTTTCGCTTGAACGTTGTTCTTTGTGATGGCCAATTTAAGCGAACAGCGGGCGGCTGTGAAATTGTTTCCTTCTCTGGAAAAATTCCGCAGAAACAGTTGTGATGTATGATGTTGAACACAGCTTTCAAGGGCAGCACTATGGGAAAAAGTCAAGTGTACAAATGATTTTCTCATTTCAAAAAAGGTGAAATGTCGATTGATGACAAGCTTTGTTCTGGACCTCCATCAATTTCCAGAACGGATGAAAATGTCACCTGGCAGTGCATTTGAAGTTTGTACTACCAGGTCCGACTGTTGATCAAGCTTTCTATTTAGAGCTTCAGAAAAGATTGCGTAACAGTGTGTGGCAAAAAAGGACTGATGGGGGACTAGTTTTACTACCATCACAACAAGGCACCTGTTCTTTCAGCCATCTCAGTGTGCCGGTACATACAGTACCTCTTTTGCCCCATGCACCTTACTCACTTGACCTCGCTCTGTGGGACTTCCTTTTGTTTCCACAAATGAAGAAGTCAGGAAAGGTCAGTGATTTGAGGACATAGAAGAGGTGAAGAATAAAATGAGGGCGGTGTTGTCAGCAATCCAAACAGATGAGTTTAAAAAATGTTTCCAAGAATGGAATTGCAGATTTAAAAAAAATCATTTTACTGGGGGCTCATGCAACTCTTATCACATCCATACATCCATCCATTGTATGTCAAGCACATCTGTACAGTTGTTGCCATCATCCTCCACAAAACATTTGATTTCTACTTTAGCCATTGGTATCAGCTCATTTCCCCCCTCCCTCCCCACTACCCCCTCCCTCAAGAATCCTTGATAGTTTATAGATTATTATTTTGTCATACCTTACACTGTCAGATGCCCCCTTCACCCATTTTTCTGTTGTCTGTCCCCCAGGGAGGAGGTTATATGTGGATGCTTATAGGTCCCCCTTTCAACCCCACCTTCCCTCCACCCTCCTGGTATCGCCACTTTCACCACTGGTCCTGAAGGGATCATCTGTCCTGGATTCCTGTGTTTCCGGTTCCTATCTGTACCAGTGTACATCCTCTGGTCTAACCGGATTTGTAAGGTAGAAGTGGAATCATGATAGTGGGGAGTGGGGGGTGAGGGAAGCATTTAAGAACTAGAGGACCGTTATATGTTTCATTGTTGCTACATTGCACCCTGACTGCTTGTCTCCTCCCTGTCAACCTTCTGTAAGGGGATGTCCAGTTACATACAGATGGGCTTTGGGTCCCCAATCTGCACTCCCCTTCCTTCAAAATGGTATGATGTTTTATTCTTTGATGCCTGGTACCGGATCCCTTTGACACTTCATGGTCATGCAGGCTGGTGTGCTTCTTCCATGTGGGCT